CCTGCTGGCTACGGCCTAGCGCTGGTCGCAGGGATGACGGCCCGCGGTCGCCGGTGAATGCAACGCCTGGCGTCGAAGTTTTTATTGCTGAGATATGCGAGCGCGCTTGCTCAAAATTACGTTACACAATTTGCATCACTAACCACGATTCTGGCTGAATGTTGAACATATCCAGTTAAACATGGCTTGACCGAGTAATCCACATTTTGGAAGCCTTTTGATCGTTAAGATACTTTTGCGGGGTTCTTGGTATCCTTGCACAACCCAGATAAAAACTCTGACAACGTTTTTGCGTCCTCATCATATCAGAAAGAATCCACTGAACTGTTGCAGGAGGAAAAGCGCCATCGATTTATTTCATGCAGTCACGCATGACTTTTTCAGTTCATTGACTTAAGAAACTCCAGGTAGAACTGATTTTGCGGCAGCGCCCGGCTCCCATTTCAATTATAGAAGGTAAAAATGTGTAAGGTCTATATATATATATATATATATATATATATATATATATATATATATATAAAGTGTGTGTGTGTGTGTGTGTGTGTGTGTGTGTGTGTGTGTGTGTGTGTGTGTGTGTGTGTGTGTGTGTGTGTGTGTGTGTGTGTGTGTGTGTGTGTGTGTGTGTGTGTGTGTGTGTGTGTGTGTGTGTGTGTGTGTGTGTGTGTGTGTGTGTGTGTGTGGTGTGTGTGTGTGTGTGTGTGTGTGTGTGTGTGTGTGTGTGTGTGTGTGTGTGTGTGTGTGTGTGTGTGTGTGTGCGCGCGTGCGCGCGCGCGTGCGTGCGTGCGTGCGTGCGTGGTCTAAGAACGACATGTCCCCATTAACAAATGGGCCGTACCCAGCGATTTTGTTTTGGGGGAGGGCCTTTATCATCCCTGTGCCCCTCCCGTTTACCAAGGCTCTGGTTGTATTTTTGGATGGTGTACATACGTAGCAACTACACCACGACAGTAGCACGAGCTGCAGAGTTCCACAACTTACATCCAAACTTACGTACTGAATGGTGTTGATGCACAGATGTGCACAAAATGGTTCACATATATTGTAAATGAATACAATGTCTACTAAAAGAAACACCAGCGGCAGCAAAGTGTATCATTTCTTGAAGTATCCACCAGCCATGTCTTAAATGTCTATTCAAACTCGCGTGCATGCATACATTTTCCAAAGATTCATGCCCAACCCAATCCAGCCGTTACTCATCAACACGGGAACCTATGGGTTTGCCCAGTCTACGGAGGTCCTACTCCCTCGTCGGCGGGAACATTGAGTACACCAACCATCCTGTCAGAGAGCTTTACCTATTCCTGTCAAATGATCTTAACAATGGCTTCGGAGGGCGTTTGCTTACGTTAACAGACTGAAAACATCGCTTCCATTGTTCATGCCACCAAACAGATGTCAGCCAAGACGCATCCACAGTGAAGCAGAGCTGGATCAAGAAGCTATGAGAACCCCTCCCCTGTCGACTGCGCCGCACTCCTAAAGCCGAGGACATACACTGACAGCATGCAACTACATTGCCCGGGGCGTCTCTCCCTCGCGTCTCGTCTCATCGGGGCTCGATAGTGTTGTGTTGTCTCTTACTCCCCCAGCACCCACATCCTGCTTGCTCGTTCTCCTCCAAGAATCGTGACTCTGTTGTTGGCAGCCATCGACGGGGCACGGCAGCCATTCACCACACGGCGGCGCTCAGGGCACGCAGGTCAAATGCCTCAGAGAGTGCGCACCGCGAATGCACGTATGACGAGTGCGACAAGCCAGGCTGGCTGTAACACTGCCATCCCTTCCTTCCTCCTCCGTTACTTCATAACCTTCAAAAGACTCTCACTAGTCCATAGCGCTCCAGCCAGCTCGCTTGTTTTGAAGGTGTTTTTCCTTCATTGTGTAAACAAGCACCTGATGGCCACTCTTCTCTAAGTTAAACATGCGGGCTTTGTCAAGCCAACTCGTTTCGGCTTGAACAAACAGTTTTTCTGCAAGCCATGGGCAGCTGCTCGTTTTTGTACCGCGGCTGCCCTTTGACGTCGGAGCTCTGTTGTCAGCCACCGCGATCGGGAGCGGCCCTCTAGTGGATTGGACGTACTGCCACCTAGGACAGCGAATGTGCGCTCAGCCCATCGGCAGCGTGAGCTACACGTCCACAGTGCAGGAGACTGCGTAAGAATGAGGCTTAATTCTCAACAGCGCAGGCTCAATATCAACCAGCTTGATCAGATTATCTATGCACTTTGCGATGTACCTAAGTTCCTGATGATAAAAAGAAAGCACGTGAGGATAGTCCTGCTTTCTTACAGCAGTCCACCTGGAGGGCTTCGTCGCACCAACGGTCTATCCGTCCCGCAAAGCCGGCAGTTCCACTCACGCTAAGCCATGAGTGGCTGTCCTACCATTAGATAGATTAGACGGCTTTTTAAGAAGATTTTTGGTCACCCACTGATGAGTGGGAACAAACCTCAAGACTCGGTTAAGTGTTTTCTTTAAAAAAACATTCAGTTTTTTTCTGTAGGACACCAACAACTTTTTAGACAAGGCTTGTAATGATTCGCAGGATAAAGGGTTATCAGAGGGCAGCATTTTCTTCAGGGTACATGTTAATTTATGTGACAAAATGCCAGTCAATGAGGCTATCACTACCGTGAAAGCTAAGGTAGACAAACATTTCAACAAAATTGGTGCTTTCGGTCCATCAAAAGATCAAAAGATCTGCGGTCTTTTAGAACACTGTCTCCAGAATAATGTTTTCTCGTTCGGAGATGACTTCTACCGACAAAAATTGGAAATATCAATGGGGGAGCCCATGCGTTCCTCCTCCGGCGATGACACTCTTAGACCAATTTGAAACGAAGGCCCTGGCCGCCAGCCCATAAAAACCAATTTTCTTGGCTAGATACATCGATGGTTATGCAGGGACACGGACGCACGGACAGCGTGCCCTCGAACGGTTTTTACAGTTCATGAACAGACAGCATCCAAATGTAGCTCTTACGATGGAGCATACAGGGGGCGGAAAGGGGGTCCCCTTTTTGGACACGCTAGTCGCGGTGGAAAGGAGGAACAGCCGCGCAACTTTAGAAGCGGATCTCTTTATCAAGCTCACCAACTCTGTTATGATTCTGCACTGCGAATCTGCATATTCAACTTCTACTAAGCACAAAAAAATTCGTATCATGTCCCATAGGGCTGATGAGTCCCACAGGAACTCATCAAGTAATGAAAAGGAAGGTGCATAAACAGAATATGGGCTTTGCTTTTGGGTAATGGATATTCTCCGCGACTTTTAGATAGAATGTTGGAAGAAGTAAAAAAGTCTGGAGCGAGTGGCGGGCTGGGTGGTGGGAGGCGAGAACGCGCCCTATCGGAAGACGGATTCTTATCTTTCGGTGGCCATTTTTTGGCAAAACACGCCCAGGCTGAAATCGAGGGAGGTAGGACCCTCAGCATCTTTTAGGGCTCAAAGTCATCTACAGAGCACAGGACCACCCAGACTGGAAAATAAGTGAATATATTTTTATAGAAAGTCGGCGATCAAGCCTCAACATACAGGGCTCATCATGGCCGGTTACGCGAAAGTGACATGTGCCTTTATGTGTGATGTGTGCTAGCTTAAAATCGTTTACACGGGTAAGTGACGCCTGACGCATGCCGTGTGATGCCTGTTCAATCGAAAGCACTTGCATGTATAACTGATGATCGATGTGTGATGGCTGTTTACTTTAAGCTCGCATGTTTGAATGAAGTGTCATGCGTGATGCCTAGTTGCTTGAATTCATTTGCATGTACACGCATGTTCGCGTATTCTAATTCTTAGATAGGCACTGTATCATGGTAATGGCTGGCAATTGCTTTTTCTTTCATTCCCTGAATGTTGGTGTCCCGTAAAAACTGTGGTTTGCTGTTTCAAAACAAAAAGCAAAAAAGTCGAGTAGGATCATCAGCAGGCGATTTTGAAATCACCTCTCCTATTGTTTCGATTAAGACATGTCGAAAAATCGATCCGACCGTACCTCCATTCTCCTGATTTTTCCAAGGAATAAGGATATTACTTCTGTCTTATCTTGTTGACCCTTTCTTTTGTCCAGCTTTTGTTAGCAGGTAGTGTAAACGTAATTCACGAAGACATGAAGTCACGAGCGCTACCTGTAACCAAACTTCCTATAGTGCTGACATCTGTGTAGGTTGCCTGCACTGCCCCTGTTGCTATATTTGTATTGCACTCACCATCGTACGCTTCCATGGAAGCTATGGGAGCATGGATTTCGGATTGGACCAGAAAAATAATCCGAGTATTTGAAATCAATATGCTTGCAGTTGTAGCGCCAGATCACAAGCAATTATCTAGCACATTGATTTTGTGTCTGCTGCTCTGCTGCTGTCATCTGCGTCTTTTCTTGTCATATGTGTGCTGCCATCTATTTTGGAACGCATAGGCATTGGAATGCTTCATTACCCTTTTGTTATTGCGAAGGACCTGTCTGAGCTGTCACGTAGGGCACAGGAGCTGCCACATAGCACAACTGTGCTTTTCCAAATGGGCAGATGTAAATCAACACAAGTTTCAGCCACGCGTTGACACGTTAAGTAGCTCCAACACCGGATTTAATGTTTGTCCTCTGCTGCCAGTATCATCTGTAAACCATGCGCATACGCTCAGAGCATCGTTGGAATATTTTCCCTCAGATGCCGAAGCGCGTGTCATCCCGTCCACGCGCGTCTGTCAGCTTCACTCTTTATTCGCGGTAGAGGAATGGAGAGGAACAGCATGGAGGTTGTTCAAGGGAAACCGCTAGCGAGTGAACATTTTCACACGGTGATGCCGAGGTGGGCACTGTCTCTCAAGTTTCATTTTCGGAAATGGTGTTCTCTTTCCCACCCGGCTCTTCCAGAGATTAAAGGCCGAATTGACCGACCCACCCACTGTCCGAAAATTGCTGGCGCTATAGCTCGGCAATGTCTGGATTATATTTGAACAAAATCAAATTATCAACATTTGTACTTACTGTGTTGTTCTCAAAACACATTGCCGTTGTTTATGTAAGCTTGACCGAGATTTTCTGAAGAGAGTGCTTGGGACGTTTTCCGCAAGAAGCCTCCGCTCCGCTGTACGCCGACATCTCGGGAACGCCCGCACTCCCCCTGCTCCGCTCCAACAGTCCCGCTCCCCGCGGCCCGGCGACCCGACCACGACACGGGTCACGTGGTCCCGGACCAATCGCCGCACGCCACGCTGGCTGCGCCCTGGCGCGGCGCGCCGGCCAAGGTGACCCCAGCCGGCGGTTCAAGCAAACGGACCGCTGAACCGGCTCACCGGTTCGGCGGCCCTGGCCGAACCGGGCAGCCTGCCCAGCCCAATTATGCTGTGTTATGCAGTTATGCGGACTCCTCACATGAGAAGCACTCTAAGCGCGTTTTTGTATTGACTTGATGTGTCACTACACATTGTCATGCTTTGTCATGCTTGGTCATGCTTTACTGCATCTCACAATAAAGACTGTTTTGCTCATTTCAGTCATCTGGTAGCGGCCTGTTTGCAGCCTGTTCTGCATTACACGGTGAAAATACCCACTTCTTCATCTCAGGCAAACCCATACCAAATCGCTGGATGTCTTTAGTCGACCCGTCATCGTGGTCTCGCGCCAGTCACGATGCCAACAGTAGTACGTACGCAGGATAACTGAGGTCATATAATTTTAAGAAAAGCATGTATTAGCTCATAAACTTGCGCAAATAAAATCGCCTCATTTGGGCAAGCATTTCAAATGCAACTAAGGTACTTATCTGGTGTACCCAAGGCCAACCTGATTTTGCCTGGCGTATGTGTGCGGTTCGAAAACCGCAAACAAAGGTGTTTTCTTGGAGGAATGGAGGACCATAATTCATGTTACCCCACACGTAATTTTATCATCTACTGTTACGCCCTCTCTGGTGTCAAGTTTTGTTTCTGTGCCTGATTTAGCTGGTTCTGAATGTGCAGGTTTGTGTCTCTGTTTGTGTCTGATTAAGGGAACGGGACGCACGTCGCTGTGCTGTCTTTTGTGGAGCGTTAGCGCTTGCAGAGGCTATCTTGGCGCTTAGGGGCAGTGGCGCAACCTGGATTCGAGCCCTGGCCCCACGCGGGGGCCGAAAATGTCAATCTCTCGACCATTCCGACCGCTGATATCGCCTGTTCACTGCACTTCACCCGTTCAACGATCCGCCGCGCTTCAAAGTTCCACGTGTTTCTGGCTCTTATCGCCCTTCGCTACGGCGCACGTGGTGGACCGCGACCGTGTTCTCAGATAAGATAACCTGGCCTGATACCGTGCTGCGGCGCTGGCGGCGTATGCGACGCCTGTGAACTGGCGCTGACTGGCAGGTGTGTTTGGAGGTAAGCCACGTCATCCATTGCATCCAGGAGTGAGAGCGTCAGTGTTGTCTCGATTGCTCTCGGCAGACGGCCATGTTAAGCGGACTAATTGTCACCCAGTTTATTGCAGTGTGTTCTCTGGGATCGCTCAGAGAAGAAAACCTCATCGTGTATACTCGTGCATGGCCTTGAGGACAATGCTGCTATCAAGTTATGAAAACTGTTTTATTGCTAAGTGTTCGCATCATTTTGCAGACAGCCAGCTTCCCACACGCACGCATGTTTTCCAATGTGCCCAGTTGGGGAGAGATTGAGGTGGTCAATGCAGTCTGTTTCTTTTTTCTACAAATAATCCTAGTTGGAAAAGTATCTGACCACAGTGTTTATGTGCGTAATGATATATGAATATGATATGTGCATAAAGGTATGTACATAATGAAACATGGCATGCAGCTACGAGGGAGCGGGAAGAACTAAATATGTTATGACATGTCACATGATACAACCATAATATTTTATAAAAAGCTGGCTGTACGGGTACCGATCGACTATTTCTGGGTTCTCGGTGCCGTATCACCATCTCCATACGCCGTGCCCCCCCCCCCCCCCCCCCTGATTTCCTCCCCCTCCCGTCCTCAGGCCACTCCCCGGCGAGCTGTGACGTCAGAGTGCAGCCAGCCCGCGCCGGCCAGGCGCTGGCTAAAAATATCGTCTCGGAGGCGGCGGTGTCGGTCGGCCAGCCGGCCGCGCCGCACGGCCCGACGACGTGCTCAGGGGCCCCGTGAGAACGCTGGCGCTGCACTGTTCCGCGACGTCGAAGTGCCGGCTGCCGTAGTGGAAGGCGACGCTGGATGTGCGCGGACGCTGCCGGTGCCCGGGTCGGCATGGGCTGCATCAGCTCCTACTGTTCTCAGGGGACCTACGACGTCGTAGATGGTGAGCACGAGACACGGCGTTGTTTCGCGCATACGGAAATGCGACGAGATGGTCTTTTTGAGGAATCGTTAAACAAATGAAGGGAGTTGCATTTTGCGTTCAAACACTTGTTTGTCCAGAATCAAGGTGAATGAAATACGCGTTTATGAATGAAATGTGCATTGTGTGGGTGGCGATATTAACACGCTTACCTGCGCCACCATTCATTGCATGTGTTTACTGGCTGGTTCGGATGTGAGCATATCGGTAATAGCTGCGATAAACATTGATCAATATTTTGGCAGCCATGTCACATCAAGTGATGATCTTGGCTTCGATTGTTTGCCCATGCCATGATCAGCGCAGGAAAGAGTCTGTCAAATATTCCTTGGCCAAAAAACATTGCCATCGAGATGCAGATTAATGCTTTGTCCACGGAATGACCTTTGCGCAAATTGATTTATGCTGCTTGCTTACATTACCCCTTATTTGCGTTCTAAAAAAAAATCCTGGAGTACAGTGCTGATATGCTTTATTCTTGATCTTTCTTGACGTCCATGCCTATGCATATTTCATTAAAACAGCTGTGAACCTTTTCATACGCGCGTCAGTCTAACAAGGTGATGGCAGATATGATTGTACCACCATGTACATTCATTACGGCGAGTCAAGGCGAATGGAGCTCATTTCCCCTGGAACCTAAACGAATGTATCTTATCAGATTATTGTAATATCCTGCCATCCGAGTCTGTCCGACAGGGTGCACCGATCGCTGCGTTCATTCATGTTTGCATTGGCATATAAAGTTACCAGATAGTAGCATATTCTGCTGGAATATCGGCCAGCTTTGTATCTTGCAAGATCTGACCATTTTAGTCGACAAGGTCGGTCAATTACTGTTCGCACTTTTGGTCACGGATGGAAGTATTGGGCGAATGCAAATATGCTGGCTGTGCGTTGCTAACAACAGACCGGGCTGTGGATCGGTAATAACCATGTCCCACTTTTTGAGACTTCGACTACAGCGTGCTGTATTGCAGGACGCTTTCGGGAAAGATGGCATTGGCCGTTTCCCCGCTCATTATCGGGGCACCTGTGCTTCGGACAGCGCTGAGATTGCCTAACGCGTTGTAAGATGTGCATTCGCTGACACCTTGCAGCTGGCTTCAAGTCTCTGCGTGCCCCGTTTACTGAGATCTGACATCAGTTATGAAAAAGACATCCGCTCGAAGACGGATGATTCCATAGCTTGAACACAGATACACCCCGCGAACATCACATCCACCTTTGCTGGTATGACGGATCATTCTTGTCCCTGCCAGTGTGAGTGTTCTGTTGTGGCACCTAGTCCCCGATGTGTAGACATGCGTTCCACCAGTTTTATAGCCTTTTGCAATTTAATAGCTCACGTTAACCATGTCGTTGCAATGGGTAGTTTAAGTCTTCGTGACATTGTTCAACGTTTTATAAATAAGCTGCCTGATCAAAACTGCCTGCATTTAAAACACGTTCAATCATTACAGCATTTACATATTTCTGTTCCATATTTTTCAGGTTTGTGCCGCCTTTTGGTACAAACTTCATGTCCATTGAATTAGTGACTAGAAAGACATATACGCGTCGAAAACGTGATATGCGGGGCTGGACGGAACACGGATGAGCTGGCCAGTTAAAACACCAAACTTCTGGTTAGTTGACGTTAAGATTCGTTTTGTCTGTGGTTTTGCTCGTAATAATGGCACTTATAAATTTGTTGTTCACAGCGTACTGATCAGTGACGGAATACACAGCTTTCTTTGAACACAACCATACTAGTTTTGTATGTTTGCTAATCCACTTTTTGTCCAGCAAAGGGAGACATGAAAGGAACACCGAAATCAGATACAGAAACGTCTTATTTTGCTACCGTGTTCCTTTTTTCCAATCCAGCATTTTCGAAGAACCACCGGGTATTACGTGTTAGCGGAAAACTCTAAGGGCGACAGGGTAAAATCAGTGAGGCGCCTTGCGCGACCTTCCTGTCTGTAGAGAACTTGCGAGATTCATAAGCGAGTTGGAGTGGATACATTCGCCAACACTGCACAGTTGGCCTTTTGCTGGCCGACTAACCAACACTGCATTTGACCATTTAGCCAACAAAAGGCTTCCGATTTACCGGATTAATCGGTGACAAAAACTGACACTTTTGCGAATCAATTGGTCACAAAATTGCGAAAATGAAAATAAATGTCAACAGACAAGACCACATGTTAAGAGATTATCTCAGCTCGTCGAAACTCAAAGGTTAGTATTGGCCTGTAGTCGCTGACGCTTGTAGCGTGGGCACATGTCGAAATGTTGACGTTTCGCTGTATGAGCAAGTTGAGCCATAAAATGCTGCATATGAGCATAAAATATAATAGCTTTAATCAGAATAGTTTTTAGCGGGTGACTGAAACATACTATGTACTATATCAGTGCTGATGTCGCAGATCAGTGGTGACACATTGCTTTTTCAATGCCCCTAAGATCAGTGCGTCTTGCAGATTTTTCGGCCAAGATTCAGTTCACACACTAAACAGCGTAAAAGACCAAATAAAAAGGCTTATTATTTGTCGTAAGAATCGAGGCTGGCTACAGCATCTTGCCACGAATGTGATGCACATGCTGATCAGGCTGACCCTGTCAAGTCAGCAGCCAAATGGCCCTCTTTGGCGAGCCATATACGAACGCTTGTTCTGGAAGGCTCCACTACGCGTTTCGCTTTACCACGACTGTGGTCAGGATAACTTCAGTTGAGCTCAGCTCCACCAAAACGGGGCTTCAGCAACGACAAGTGGTGTGTCTTCGTGGTAATATGGTAATACTCGCTCGCTATGGTAATACTCGTGGTAATGCT